CACATGGGTCAGGGATGGGACAGGGATACAGGGACAGGGCATCCACACAGATCAGGGATGGGGCCAGGGGTCTCATGCTGTCCCCACAGGCCCAGTGTGTGCCGGGACAGGGACAGGGACATGGGGACGGGCCGGGGGTCTGACGCTGTCCCCACAGGTCCGGTGTGTGCAGGAGTCGTGGGGCTGAAGATGCCGCGGTACTGCCTGTTCGGGGACACGGTGAACACGGCGTCACGGATGGAGTCCAACGGGGAAGGTCGGGAGGGCCGGGGGGGGGGGGCCGGAGGCTGGGGGCGTCCGGGGGACACCCGGGGGGGCTGAGGGTCCCTCCCCCCCCAGCCCTGAAGATCCATATCTCGGGGGTGACCAAGGCGGTGCTGGAGGAATTCGGGTGCTTCGAGCTGGAGCTCAGGGGGGACGTGGAGATGAAGGTGAGCCCCGGCTCCCCCAAAACAGCCCCGACCCCCCCAAACAGCCCAGACTCCCCCAAACTGCCCTGACTCCCCCAAACTGCCCTGACCCCCCCAAACTGCCCCGCCCTCCCCTCAGACTTCCCTGACTCCCCCAAACTGCCCCAGCCCCCCTCAATGGACCCCCAATGGGGACCCTCCCCACACCTCAAACCCATGGGGCAATGCCCCCCCTTCACTCCCCCCTGCACCCCAAACCTTGGGGTGATGTCCCCCCCGGACAATCCCCCCCCTTGCACCCCAAATCTTGGGCTCTCCCCTGACCCCCCCTCTCCCAGGGTAAGGGGAAGCTCAGGACCTACTGGCTCCTGGGGGAGCGTGGGAGCAGCATACGGGGGTGACCCCCCTCGCACCCCAAAAACACCACTCGGACCCCCAGCCACGGCCTCCCCCTCTGGCCGGGGGCTGGGGACCCCCCCAAACCGACCTCGGAGAGGACCCCCAGCACCCCGCGGGCACCGGGGGGGACACGGAGAGCTGGGGGGACACGGAGGGGGGCTAGGGGGCCCTTGGGGGCTCCCCCCGCCCCCCGGGGGGGCACGAGAGCTCTAATTTTTGTAATAAAGCTGCTGTGGACGCACTCGGGGGTCTCTGGGGGGTCTCCATGGGGTCTCTGGGGTCCCCCCCGCACCGGGGTCCAACTGGGAGTGGGGGTGGCTCCGGGGGCATCCCCGAGTGGAGGGTTGGGGGGATCGAGAGGTCTCGGGGGGTCCCGGGGGGATCCCTGGTGTCCAAGGGGTTCCCGGGGGCGGTTCCCGGGGAGGTACCGGGGGGGGTTCCCGGATTGCTCGGGGGTTCCCGGGGGCTTCCCGGGAGGTTCCTGTAGGGTCGGGGGGTCCCGGAGGTCCAGGGGGTTCTCAGTGGGGTCCCGGGGGAGGGGGTCACTGACGTCCGAGGGCTTCCCGCTGGTTCCCGCTGCTCTCCCCGCGCGCGGGTGGGCGGAGCCTCGTCCCCCCCCAACCCCCCCCCCCCCTCCCCATTGGCCGCCTCACCCCGCGCGGCCCCTCCCTCCTTCGGTCCTGTCACTCACAGCCGTCCCCGCGCTCCCTTTGGTTGACACTGGAAGGAGGGGCGGGACTTCCCTCCCGTGCCGCGCTTCCGCTTCCGGCCGGGCGCCGCCGTCCCTCTCCGGTAACTTCCGGGTGCCGCCGCCGCCCCCGGGCCCAGAGCGACCCCCCCGGGACCCCGCCCGGGACCCCTTGCTCCGGGACCGCCCCCACGGGGGGCCCCCCACCCCCCCCGACATCCCCCGGGCCGCGGCGCCGCGCCCCCGGCCCCCCCCCAGGGGCCCCCCCCCGAAGCTCATCCCCCCTCCAGAGCTCAGGACCCCCCATAACCCCCCAGAAATCAACCCCCAGAGCTCAGGACCTCCCAATATCTCCCCCAGAGATCCCCAAAACTCATCCCTCCCCCACCTCCCCAGCCCTAAATATCCACTCACAACCCCCCCCCAGGACCGCCGCGGACCCCCCCACCCCATCCCATCCGTGC